CCTCCCCCCACCTCATCACCTCCACCCCCCAGCACACAGCCCCCCTGCTCCAGCTTGTCCTTCACTACCTGTCAGGTGAGAGATCAGCTGAGGAGGATAAAGACGAGGGAGGCTGCGGGTCCTGACGGCATCAGCTCCAGGCTCCTGAAGACCTGCGCAGACCAACTGTGCGGGATAGTTGAAACCATCTTCAACCTGAGCCTGAGGCTGGGGAGAGTACCACAGCTGTGGAAGACATCCTGCGTGGTACCTGTGCCCAAGACTCCACACCCCAAGGACTTCAGCAGCTTCAGACCGGTGGCATTAACATCACACCTCATGAAGACTCTGGAGCGTCTGGTCCTGTCTCGTCTCCGCCCCGCAGTAGGCCCATCAATGGACCCACTGCAGTTTGCCTACCAGCCTGGCACTGGGGTGGACGATGCCGTCATCTTCCTCCTGCATAGAGCTCTTTCCCACCTGGAGAAGCCTGGAAGCTCTGTGAGAATCATGTTCTTTGATTTCTCCAGCGCTTTCAACACCATACAGTCTGCACTTCTGAGGGACAAACTGGAGCACACAGGGGTGGCTAATCACCTCACATCCTGGATCCTGGACTACCTCACGGACCGGCCGCAGTATGTCAGGACCCAGGATTGTGTATCGGACTTGGTTGTCTGCAGTATGGGGGCCCCGCAGGGGACGGTGCTGGCACCGTTCCTCTTCACCCTCTACACTGCAGACTTTTCATACCACACCCCCACCAGTCATCTGCAGAAGTTCTCTGACGACTCTGCCATAGTCGGCCTCATCACAGATGGGGACAACAGGGAGTACAGAGAACTGAGCCAGGACTTTGTGGACTGGTGCCTGAGGAACCACCTTCAGATCAACGCAGGGAAAACCAAAGAGCTGGTGGTGGATTTCTGCAGGCGCAGACTCCTTCCCCCAACACCGGTGAACATCCAGGGAAAGGACATTGAGATGGTGACATCTTATAAGTACCTGGGTGTTCATCTTAACAATAAACTGGACTGGACTGATCACGTAACAGCACAATACAGGAAAGGCCAAAGCAGACTCTACCTGCTGAGGCGGCTCAGGTCTTTTGGAGTGCAGGGGGCGCTCCTGAAGACCTTCTTTGACACTGTGGTGGCATCAGCCATCTTCTACGGAGTAGTCTGCTAGGGCAGCAGTGTCTCGGCTGCAGATAGGAAGAGACTGGACAAGCTGATCAAGAAGGCCAGCTCTGTCCTGGGATGCTCTCTGGACTCTGTGCAGGTGGTGGGAGACAGGAGGATGACAGCCAAGCTCTGAGGACTAATGACTCCCATCCTCTGCAGGAGGAGATAAAAGCTCTGGAGAGCTCCTTCAGCGATAGACTGATTCACCCAAAGTGTGTGAAGGAATGCTATCGCAGGTCCTTCCTGCCTGCTGCTGTCAGGCTACATAACCAGCACTGCTCACAGTAAACTGCACCATGGACACTTTAGGGACACTATGGACACTTTATGGACACCACAGCAGTCTGCTGTTTTTGCACATACAATCACTTGCACCTTATCCACTGGCCATTTTCATTCACTGCTGCTCCTTATTATCCACTTCCCATTATTATTTTTATTGTTATTGTTATTATTATTTATCGCCGTCTCTTGTATTTATGTACTTATTTGCATGCCTAGTTATTTAAGTTTTTAAGTTTAAATTTGAAATCTTTAATCTGACTCTTTCCTCTTGACTGCTGTAACACTGGAATTTCTCAATTATGGGATCAATAAAGGTGTATCTTATCTTATCTTATCTTATCTTATCTTAAATCTGATCTGGTTTTGAACAAAATTATTATTTTTTGTTTGTTTTATAAAGATACCATTTTTATGTGGTAGACAGTGATGTTTTTAAAAGTGCAACAAGGAAAATTTGTCATGAGATAGAATTGAGAAATAGTACAAGGCCCAAAAGCTGCCTCAAAGTTCAGAGATGTTGGGATGCTGTGTAAAATGTAAATAAAACAGAATGCAATGATTTGTAAATCATTTTTGACCCATGTTCAATTGAATACAGTCCAAAAACAGGATATTTAATGTTCAAACTGAACTGAACAAAAAGGATGTTACTCATTAATGCAAAGCTCTGTCTCTGTAGGGATTCCTTCTATCATCAGACACTCATAGTAACAATCTGAACCTGTCAGTGACCAAAACAAGCTTTATTTGGATGTACATTGACTGTGCACAAATGCCTCCAGTGGTTAGTTTTGTCCCCATTAGTTACTTAGACACAAAAACATGGGAAAATAATATCCAGGTTGAGAAAAACCAAAGTTACCCTTTGAGGCCCCAGAACACCCTTTCTCTCTTTCTCCCATTAAAATAATTTTTGGCAGTAAATGTCTGATTCAAGCTATTTAGATCTGGTTATAGTAAAGAGTCATCAAAATATGATTGGAGATGACATACTGAGGGATTAACAGATGGATAAATTGAAGAGAAAGTGGAAATTAATGTAAAAGAGCTGAAAATATGCAGAAGTGAGGGTGAGATGTGCAGGTGAGCTGGATCAGGGTTGTTCCTGTCCTTCAACTTGAACCATGTTTTGAGATGAAATATAGTATACACAATGCAAATCTAATATTTATGTTGCATATGTGTAAATTACACACACACACACACGCACAGAGAACAGAACAGAATGGAACAGGAGAGTTTAGAACAGAACACGGAACCTCTTTGACTGCCTGAATCTCTACAAATACCCCCTGCACTTGTCAGTCTCACACTGATCTCACTGAGAGAAGACTACACACACAGTTGTTCCGTCTTTGAACAATTGAGTTGTTTTTTTGAAAAAGTAATGGAGAATTGCAACTTGTCAAAGATCTGCCTCCCATTTCGGAAGTGGATCCACAAGAACAACGAGGATGGTGGTGTAAGTAATCAACTCTTTTGCACACAAAAACACAAATATTCTCCCAGCTCTGAAAACTTGAAGCTAATGTTTCATCAAAAAGACTCCAGACTGCTACACTTGAATTGTTTTCACTACAATTGAAATTTTAAATCATATTTTTACCGTGCTGTTTCTCATGTTACCTACAGTATCAGTTCAGTTATTTTGAGTTTTGTCAAAATAGGTAACACCTGTGTATTCTCAGAGCTCTGACAGTGTTACAGTATCAACTATTCTGCAAGTTTTGCTTTGTTTTGGTGGAAAGAATTGGTTTTGAGAAGCAGGAATGTGGTTTTAAGTGCAGTGTTTCATTTTGCAAGACATTTATTGAGTTTTCAAAAGAATAGTTTTGTGTTTAGAGTTTTGAGAAGTTGAGCTACAGTTTCAGGAAATGTGCTGAAACAATTGAGAAAAACTGTCATCTCTGACCTTTCTTCTGTTCATAACTGAGTCAAAGTGGATCATCTCAACTGCAATAATTACCAAGTTACTCAATAGTGTTGTACTTTATTTCCACAGCAAACTGGGAGCCACAGTGGACATCAAAATCCTGATGGCTCGACCAATGAGTCCAGCATCCTGGACTCCCAGAGGGCAGGGAGGGCTACGCTAGTTCGCCAGGCAGAAAACCTGTGCACTGCGACAAAAGCCCGAAATGATGCTGTTCTGGGGATACTGGGCCTCCCCGTTCAGGACGTCACCTGGCCTTCACCTCGACCACCACCTTTACCAAAAAGAAGCATCAGATCCCCTCAACGAAGAAGGAAGATCGCCCCTCGTTCAGATGTTCCTCGTTTGAACACCAAGGACATCGACAGACACCAGAGTCCTGGAAGTCTGGATGAGGAGGACGACTCCTTCTGGGAGAAGGTGCTTCTTGGCAGCCAGATGGCTGTCCTCGCATGTAAGGAGGCTCAAATGGCAGACGGAGACCAGAGCCCAACCTCCTCCCTCAGCTCGGTTGATTGTAAAACACCGAGTGAGCTGAGGGCCATCGCTCTGATTGAGGAACCAACAACTCCTCCTCCTCCTCCTCCTCATCGAGCAGTCACACTGTTCAGGAGAAGAACATCTCGTCTGCCTGTACTTTCAGCCGAACAGAGTGGAGCAGGTCAGTTCCTCAAGACAAACTCTTTTAGGGACAGGTGTGGGAACCCCTGCTGTTTCTTCCAGTTGTTAGACTCATACAGCATGGGATTTTTTTGCTAAATCATTGGACATCAACTCAAATATTAAAACACTATTACAAGTACAACACTTACATCTAAGTTACCCGTTGGGTATGAGAACAGTCGAAATTTATGTGATCCTTTTTTTGCCCTAACAGAGAAAGAGGTAGCCGATGGATGTAGGCTACAATCGGCTAAAGGGAAAGTCGAGGCCTTTGTGGAGAGACTGAAAAGCCTCCAGCTCGCCTCCATCCCTTCACCTCGACCTCCAGCAGCTCCAACGATGACCCCTGCAGCGGCACCTAAAAGGATCCCTGCACCACCTACCATGACACGCCCTGCACCTGCTCCGACAGCAACCCCTGTGGAGACGCTTTTGGCACCCACCCCTCCAAGAGTTCCCCAGGCCAAGAAACGAGGGACTCGACCCGGGGTGGCCCTGCGTCCCGCAAAAGCCGTCAGCGTGGCAGGTAAGTTCTGATATCCTGAATAATTGTAGTCGAAGCTGTGAACTGTACTCATGGGTTTCTTATAATTTTTTGTAAAGAATTATAGTAGCTACTGTGAGTACAGTGCTATGAAACACAGGACATGTGAGTAAAGACTGTTTTGCTTTTTACCAGGCAAGGACACAACCACCGACTGCAGCCCTAACGCTGCAAAGGATAAAAAGGTCAAGAAGACGGAGCTACAGCAGTTGACCAACCCTGTGCAGAGCCTGTCTGCCTGTTTCAAGCTGCTCTCCTTAAATGACTGGTAAGACACCGACAACACAAAGCAGTCTGTTGTACAAGCTCAACAAATGTTTAATCTTAAGTCTGTCATGTTGCAACTACTTTGACATGAGTCAGTGTCACATCAATATGGAGCCAGTACATGTTGGTAAGAGTAACTTTTAAGAGGTTAATTATACTTTACATTTTAACATACAGGGAGAAGAAAATCGACGGCTTGAAAATCATTCAGGCGCTTGCACAGCACCACCTGGACACACTGAGGACAAAACTCCATGAAGTATGTCTGGTTCTCATCGTGGAGGTATTGTACACACTTTCCTCTTTCTATCTATATTTGTGCATTTTCATTCGCCAACATGTGTCTGTGAGTGTGCACACTACAGCTTTGACTGATGATGTTTATTCTCACTATACAGGTGAACAACTTACGCTCAGCCGTTGCTTGTGAAGCAATGGACACCTTGGCAGAGCTGTACGTTCACCTCCAAAAGGCCATGGACCCAGAGGCAGAGGGAACAGGCCGAGCCTTGCTGCTGAAACTGGCACAGGCAACGAGTGCCTTCATTCACCAGCAGGCTAATCTTGCTCTCGATGCCCTGGTAGACAACTGCAGCCATGGTCGCATTGTGAGCGCTCTTTTGAACGCAGGCCTGAGGTAAGAGGAGAGAAGAGGTTTATTTTATCAGCAAAAACCTTAAAGCAAAGTTAAATAGGATAATGAAACATAGTGTCTCATATTCCCCTGTCTTTGTCCCTCCTCAGCCACCGATGTGCTGCAGTCAGAGGCAGCATGGCTCAACATCTGCACCAGCTGGCTGACAGTCTGGGAGCAACTCGCATCTTGAGAGCAGGAAGGACACTCACAGAGCGCTTCCTTCTTGCTGTCTCCAAGATGTGTGTCGATGGTGCACCAGAAGTGAGGTGAGTTATCAAGTTCTTTAGATTTAGTGTAACATGTTGCACAATCTTGTGATCTTGTAACTCCTGTTTCCACAGTCATAATTTAATTTTTCTGAATACTGAGCTAAATGAGATATGTCTTCCTCCACAGGCACCATGGACAGATAGTCCTCTTAAAATTGGCCGACCACAAGGGCTTCATCAAACCGTGGACAAAGATCATTCCAGTAAACCAAAGATCATCACTGGACAAGATCTTAAAGAAGGCCAAGAAATAGAGGGCATCTGAAATATTATTTCTTTCTTTCTTTCTTTCTTTCTTTATTTATTTATTATTCAGCTATCTATTTGTTTATTTATTCAGCTATTTATTTATTTATTTATTATACTGTTCATATATATATGTATATATAAATGTAAATATGTATAGTTATATATTTTTATATTGTAGTAATCACTGTCCAAAATACACATTCATAATCATTTACAATGTGTCTATTACTTTGTCATTCTTAATGTCCATACTGTGACTTTACTTGTTCTGTTCACATTGACATTTATTGCCTGTCCGTCTTGGGAAAGGGATCCCACCTCTGTGGAGATTCTCCTCATCCATACGTAGGGTCTAAGGACAGAGGGTGTCATATGCTGTTCAGACTGTGAAGCCTCTTGAGGCAAATTTGTGAAATTTGCTATATAAAATCAATAGTTTTACAATTGCTAACAAGTGTTAACCTAAACTTTCCGTAAGATACTTTTTCTGAACTCTTAACACAGCAACACACCTGCCTCGTACAATTAGCCAATTCATCACTTTTCTGCTTAAAACCACATTTTGTTCATTATATACCTACACTACATTTGAAATTATATAAAAAAAACTTTCTCTATGTACATGAACTCTATCAAAACACTACCTGCAAAACTACCTGCTTACAATAAACAATAGGAAATCCATTGTTATTTTTAATAATTTAGAGTCATTTTGCCATAAACCACTTTGTATATTGTGGTTGAGTGTTGAATGTGTGCATTTTTGGCAACATATTATGTAAAAATTATCTTACTATCTTACTAATTATCTTATCTTATTATCTTACTTTTTAGAGTGTAGCCTGCAGTAGAAAACAGAAGTAGTGAGTGATTAACAAAATAAAATCCACCATGTGTTGAAAAAAATAAAGGCACAGCTGTTGGAAAACAAGAAAATGCAAACATAGAAAAACAATTTAACAAACAGAATCTGTTTAACATTTAAGGATGTCGACGTCATTTCTGTCCACAGAAAAAAATATATTTTTGCATTTAAAGTAATTTTAATATAAAATATGTTATACTGAATGCAGGAATTCACCCAGTGTCCAGAGCTGCTGCCATGTACAGAAAATCCAGATAGTTTTAGTGAAAAATAGTTGCTGATTAATATCTGTATGTGTAGGGATGAGGCTACAGGAAGATAAAAAGTTTTAAAGTTATGCTGGGAGACAAAGAAAACCAAAATATGCATTTGAGCTGCTCAGAGGACATTGCAAACGAGATGCATTGTGATTTACTGTATGCCTATTAGAAATCCTTTAGTGGATGGATGCAGTACAGACATGCAGGGAAGGGAATACAAGTAACATTTCAGGTTTAAGTATATAAGAAATGACTGAGAAAACAAAAGAAGCAAGGGGGAAAACAGATAACAATGACAACATTACAAAAACAGGACAGTAATGTAAGCCAAACCAGCCATTAAAAAGAGATCATGTACTGACAGGGTAAAGGAAATATATAGCAGGGACACGAGGAGCTAAGGAGGAAGCGGTAAGAAAATGGCACTCTACTGCTTATTACCAGCAAAACACCATTGCCAGATACTGGAAATCTACATTTAGACCAAGTTTACAAGTCTGGCTTACTGGACTGTCACACTCTATTGCCCTTGAAAAACTTACTTCTATGATTAAGGGTAAATATTCTACTTTTGTTAAGATATGGGGATGTTTTATGACATTTCTGGAGAGGGATAGGGCTACAGAAGTCTACTTGTCTTACTTTCTTGAATGTAAAATTGTAAAATGTAAAATTATGTGCAATATCTTTCCTTTAGACCGTCAGCACTTGTATGAGCGCCACAAAAGGGCAGTATACAGTGGAGTGCAAAATGCTCTAAAAAGAGCTATCTTCACATCAACTGAACAATAAGACAATAAATTTGAGAGCAAGCATATTAGCTTGTGCATACAACTTGCAAAACTGTCTGCGGCTATCTTCATCATCAGATAAATAATTGACAATATAATGACCAAGATATTTAATCTCATCACACACTTTAAGAGCAGCACCAGATCAGATGAATTCAGACATTCAATTGTCTTCTTTACTTCTAACAAGCATAATGTTGCTCTTATTGGCATCATATTCAATGTCAAAGTCTGCACCATAGTTAAAGCAAATCTACAACAGCTGTTGTAGGCCAGCACTATATGGGCAGAAGATTATCAAATCATCTGCATTCATAAAATGATGTAATAAAGCATTGCAAACCATACATTCTGTATTATATGCATTCAACATGCGTATCTGTTTATTTTGAACCTTGGAAAAGTACTTGACCTGTCATAACAGTTAATATTAAGACAATACCTTACTGTGAATGTTCAATTTTGTACCATGTAATATTTGAAGTATATCAAAAATCCAATAAACACACTTAAAAAAGGAAGAAGTGGTATGTTGAATTATGGCAAGGCAACTGTGTTTATTTATGGAAGTGGGTTGAAGAGTTTCATTTAGTTTATTTTGGTCATTTTCCAACTTATAAAACACAAATGTACTGGGAGATTAAATGCATAAACATTAAGTTAATGCTTTTTTTAGAATTATAAAACAAAACAGGAGCAAAAATGTGTTGTTTTTATCAGATCCCTTTTAAATATACAGAGCATTAAGAAACTGTATACAGGCCTATTGTCTGCCCAGATATCCCAAACACATTTCACATACACTTTGGTGTTCATACTTCACGTTTATATTTGTTAATCATCTTGTGTTTAAATATTTTTTTAAAATCTAATGTGTGTATTACACACTTTCATTTCTGTTTCTAACCCATTCCCCAAATTTACTCCATATAAACACTGAAACAACCTCTGGATAGTTTGGCAACAATGGGAGAAGTGTGTGTTGAGGGAATCTGGCATTAGGAGCTAATTAACTCCAGGAGATGGCAGTAATGCAACAATAAGGACGCCGGATGCTGCAAAACCTGGATGAAGAAGAAGAAGAGGAGGCGGAAGAAGCCTTCTCAAATCCTGCCAAGAGGTGTCAGTCAGCGCTTGAGTGCTCTCAAAGGGACACAATGGAGTTTATCTTGCACATTAATGTAAAGAAGAAGCTTTTCCGTGCGCTGTGCACCGCTCTCCTCCTCTTCCTCACCACAGTCACGTCTGCAGAGGAAGGCGCTAATGTGAAAAACTCCCAGTGTCACAACTACGCGGGAGGACACGTCTATCCCGGAGAGGCTTTCCGCGTGCCTGTGTCTGACCACTCTCTGCACCTCAGCAAAGCCAAGAGTGAGTTTGTGTCCTGAGTTTATCCACAGGCGGATAGTTTGTGTGTGCGTAATGAGAATGCGCAGTTGTTGTTCTTGCAAACAAACGCAGCTGCAGCTTCAGTGTGCGGATCCTGCTGCTGTCAGGACAATAGAAACACACTGAGGGTGTCAGTCTGCAGCTTGTGTTCACATCTGACTGTCTGTGTCTCACAGGTTAACACTCAGACAACAGTTTAAGGTGTTTCAGTCACAGATGAGGCCTAACTTTTAACCAGCTGTTTTTGTAGGACACGTCATTCTGTGAAATTCATGGGATTGCGCTCCTCCCTCCGCCCCTTGGAAACATGACTGGTCCAAATAACACCAGTGGGTTGGACAAAATAACAGGAACACTCAGAAACTAGTAGATGCAGTCATACAAGTCACGTGTTCATGCAGAGTCCATATGATAAATACATAATTACAGTCTTGTAGGCAAAGTAAGTGTTGGAGTTAGTCATTATCTGTAACACTCATACAGTTTAGTCTCTGTTTGTCATGTGTCATCAGGAGATATTTACCCCATGCCACAGTGCCAACTTGTGCACCAGCAGACATGCGATCTGTACTTGCTCACTTGCCATATGTTGCTCATGTAATGGAAACAAACTTGTACTTGCAATGCATAAGCAATGTGAAGAAGAAAAGTCTAACTATGGAATATTATCTCAGATGTGCAAAAACTAAACAAGAGGGGTCATAAAAATTTAAATATTTATTCATAATAGGGCTGGGTGATATGGAGAAAATTAAATATCATGATATGTTTTACCAAACACTGCCACTGATATTGCAACAATACTGTAGAGTTGACTATTGGTCCCAAACTATTCACACAAAGAGATTAAAAAAAATCGATCAGCAGTAATGAGGATATAACAACTAACAAATAATAGACAGGGTGTCAGCAGGTCATTAAAAAGTCTCTAAATATCTTAAATTCAATATTACAAGGCCTTATTATTAAGGCCTTAAAAGTCACTAAAATAACTTGAATTTGTTAAGTCTTAACTACTGCTAACATTTTATCTAATTTTATTTATCCATTTTTTAAATTTCTTAACATGAGTTAAGCCTTTCTATGTAAAGTCCACATTTCTAATGTTATAAATCTTTAAAAAAACTATAATACTGTCAATTTACTTTCTTGTTGGCAAAATGTAGATTGACATAACTCACTCTAATAACCATACTCCTACATAACACTTACCTCTGCACAAGATCACATATATACTACTTGTCTGCGATGCTTACCTGTGATACTCAAATAAGTAAAACATGATTTGTCTAAAAATCTGTCCTAAATTTAGTTAAAATGTGTCTTGTAGAGGTCTTAGAAAGCATTGAATTTCCCTGTCTGATACTTGTAGACATCCTGATAGAGCAGCTAGATCAGTCTGGTAAGTTCAGACAATTACATCACTTTACTGTAATGCAGTATAAAACCAGGAAAAGATAACGCTTACAGTATTACGATATCCAAAATCTAAGACGATAACTTGTCTCATATCTCTGCATTGATATAATATTGATATAGCCTAATGCCCAGGCCTTATTTATCACAACCAGAATGCTTTGTTTCCATTTCCGTGGACTGGTATGTGTAATAGAATAGAGAAAAAGAGAGAGAAACATTTCAAAGAACATATTTAGGTAGAGGAAAATGATACAAAAAAAAAACAAAGAGAAAAAGTACATTTTGAATAGTAAAGTACAAGTAAGTAATTAAAGTGGATAAGAATACAGAATAAAATGTGAGTATTGGCATGCTATGGATAAAAATATAGACGTAGAGGTACAATAAAAGATTAAAAGTAAATTCATATAAAGTACCAGTTAAAAGTTTGGACACACTTTCATAGTTATTATAATGAGAAAGTGTGCCCAACTTTTCAATGGCACTGTGCCTCTGACAATTATACTGCACAATTCAGTTTAATTATATATACACTGAACAACCTTAACCTCAAAACGTACATTAGAGTTTAATCAGTAGCTCTAAAAGTGTAAGAGTAATCAAGATTATGAGAGTCTCAGTGTACCATTTGAAAACGAAAGCACTACTGTAATCTTTTAGTCATTTGCTGCGTCAAAACACAAGTCAGAGATGTTATTAAATCACAGTTTCAGCTCCTGGTTTTATCAATCCATGTATTTCTCTTCCTGTTGCAAAGTTTCAAAGCTTGCACCAAACTGGGAGGGAACGGCCGTCATTAATGGGGAATTCAAGGAGCTGAAGCTGTCGGACTACAAAGGCAAATACCTTGTCTTCTTCTTCTATCCTCTGGACTTGTGAGTAACATCTTAGACACACATTACGTAAACACTTTATTGGTGTAGCTGCACGTGAGTCTGTTTGATGTAAATGTTTTCTCTCTTGTGCAGCACATTTGTCTGCCCCACTGAGATCATTGCATTCAGCGATCGCGTGCATGAGTTCCAAGCCATCAATACAGAGGTGGTCGCCTGCTCTGTCGACTCCCAGTTCACCCACCTGGCCTGGTAGGAATGCAAGATGCCCTCAGACTTTACTGGCTTCAGATAAAATCCTAGTAATAATCAAATGATCTAAATACTTAGGGGTTAAGGCTGGTGTTAAAGTGTGAATCATTCAGCTACAGTTGAAACAGAGCTTTATTTTTTTCTCATATTTCCTCTTAACAACAGGATCAATACACCCAGGAAGCAGGGCGGACTCGGACCAATGAAAATCCCTCTGTTGTCTGACCTCACACACCAGATTTCAAAAGACTACGGAGTCTATCTGGAGGACCAGGGACACACGCTGAGGTACAGCTTGACATTTATAGCCTTTATCAAAGTTTTACAGGCAATTAACTCAACAAAACACTGTTATGTCACTCTGAGGTGCTTTAAAAGCAAAAAGAAACATGTTAAACAGGTAGGATAAAACTGTGGTTATTTAAACAACCGTAACCAACAACAGTAACCAACTAACAGTAAGTCATACTTGAATCTCACCTGTCCGTGTCTCTCTTTCAGGGGACTCTTCATCATTGATGGCAAAGGCATCTTGAGGCAGATCACCATGAACGATCTTCCAGTGGGAAGATCTGTGGATGAGACTCTGCGGCTTGTGCAGGCCTTCCAGTACACTGACAAACACGGAGAAGGTACAAGGAGCTCATTTAAACATACCTGGATACCAGTAGCTGGTTTGCAGTGGATTTTTTAAACTGTTTTAGTTTTGCTGACTGCATTATGTGTGTTTTTTGACAGTGTGTCCGGCAGGATGGAAGCCAGGCAGTGACACAGTGAGTATCACCTGCAGCTGTGATTGATTTGGATCCTTGGTACTCATGATATTGTGTGTGTTTTGCAATAATAAAAGCATTTACGTCTCACAAATAACTTGAGAAAAATGGACTTCCACTGTGAGCACTGCCTGACTAGATTCTAAGCAACATTTGTGATGCACACAAAGCAGACTAGGTTGTTATCAGGGATCTGCATTAGTCACAGCCTGGTTACAGCACATTCTAGTCTATTTCTGTCATCGACTGTACTAACTGTGCACTAACTTAATTTATTCTCTCCCGCAGATCATTCCCGACCCCTCAGGAAAGCTGAAGTATTTTGATAAACTGAACTAAATCTGCGTTCCTGTCGTTCCAGTCTGTGAAATCCAGCACTTACTGAAAGTCCAAATAAAATGTGTTTTCCTAAAGTGCTGTCCGTCTGCTCTTTTAGATTCATCTGACTGAGTCATCACAGCAGATGACAGTTTCAGCTCAGATCATACCTTTTGTTTTCTTGAGAGCAGAACGTTTCATAGCCTGCATCACACTGGGAATGAGCAGCTGTGATCGATGGGAATTTACCCAGTGGCAACCAGGTGCTCACCAACAACACCTGATTACAAAGACTCATCAGACACATTAGCATACTTGCTGTACCGGTTGTGGTGTTTTATACTTGCAAGCATGTAAACTTGCGTTGACTGCCTTGGAAACTAGCCCCAGGCTCAGAAGGTAAAGATACTGTCCCTTAAACATTTGCACAAAGGATGAAATAAGTTTACAATGGAAGTGGTTTGAGGGCAAAACGTCTGTGCGTTGGAACATTAACTACAAGTGTACAGCCGCCTAATGACCAACAAAGTTGGCTGACAAACAGCATTGCAAGGTAATTTTCAAAGTTAAAGGAGAAATTCGCCACATTTTGAGTAGATATCCAGTCAGTTTTGATGGTAAATGACATCACTGAGGCAATAAATTCCTCACTGTGCTCTGTCTTGACATAGAAGCTGAGTGTTTCTGCTTGCACAGCCATTATTTAAGTGCCTAGACGCACCAGGATGCATTGCATGTCTGAGGTTCTGACGCTCAACTCCCAAATACTCCCCAAACCTGCCTAGCACGTGGAGGTGGGGTCTGAAAAGCGTCTGAAATAACTTCACTGTTCAACTAAAGCACTGGGGTAAATAAGTTTTATCAATGACAAACAGGCCTTATTGTACATTGCCTGGAGGCTGTGTAGTATCAGCATAATGGCCAAAAGCTATTTGTTGGCCAAAACAAAGTGTTAAGTGACAAAAATACTCACTCAGTGATCACCTGTCCTCTTGGCCCTGCTGGCTTTGGTTTCTTTCCCAGTTTATCTTTGCAATCCTAAAGGACTCCAGTGATTTTTTTTCCCACCAACCACAGTTAGCCCAACAACCAGTGACTGCTGATTTATTCAAGCACTTAATTCAAACTGGGCAAACAAAAAAAACCCCTCACTTAACCCGTCATAATTGGATCGTCCAGTGTTCCAAATATCACCAACTATTGTTTACTTTTTGCATGTAAAAGGCAGAAATTTGTCTTTGGTTTGCAAATTCTACTACAAAGTACATTAAAACACATCATATCATATCCAGACAGGACATGCATCTACATAAAAACACAATGGACAATAAAGGCTGCATTAAAAGGAGCACCAGGTATTCAACATTGACGTCTGACTCAAGGTGAAAAGACATTAAGTGTTGTGTGCAGAGGTAGCTTATACTACAATATGTACAGATATGACCCAACTTTTTCAGAAGAATATGATTGCCTGATCAGTTCTTGCAACTGGAATGCTTGGAAAAGCATAGCTGTCATGTTTGTCAGCAGTAGCAGAAACATTGCCCTTGAGCAAGTCAACCAAACACAGTTCCAGAAAGCCTGAAACTTAAAACTAAACACTAACTATTCAGTGTTCCTAAAAGATATGACGTCACTTAAGTAAACAGTCGGTATGTTTATGACATCAGATAACAGAGTATCACCTTATGGAAAGCTACTGTATTTTAAGTTCTGATCTTGTGTCCCTTCAAACGACACTGAAGTATCAACACAAAGTCTTAAAACATTTGACTTAAAGATGCTTTTCTGGCTAATCATCACACAAACAGCAACCACATCTGCTCCGTCATCTTATCATTTCTGGCTGTTGATAAGCTAAAATGTCACAAATCATTTCCCTTTTTATTGGAGGAACAAACCATTAACAACACATTACATAAATGGACATCAATAGATCAATAAAAATTGTTTTTCTGATCACAGCAATGCAAATCATTGTTTGACTGCTGTTAATGTGACCTACAGAGGAATACTTTTAATGTATAAGTATTGATTTTACATTCATTTTGACATAGGGTTTTTCCCTCAGTCATAATGTGTCAGCTAATGAGACATTATGTTCTCTGGCCTTGTTTTTCTTTTCTTTTTTCCAGGTCTGGTTAATATTTACCTTTAAACGACATTCAAATGAAGCACAGTGATCGTCACATAGATAAGTCAACAAAAAAAAGAAACAGGATGCAAAGGGCTGTTTGACCATATATGGGTTACAGGACAGGTCTACCTTCCTCAGAGGATATATAAAGGGCAGGTGTCTGAAGCTGCTGTACCACTTGGTGACACAACCAATGCGTTTCTGCATGCTTCCTACATTTCATGCCCGGGGGTGAACTCCTGAGGAGCGGATGACGAAACAAATTTTGCTTTTGTTCACATTCAGAGGACTAATACGCAAAGGAAAAAAGGGGAAAAAAAGAAAATGGCCAGTTTTATATTACGGAAAGCTGAACCCAACGACGTATCCGATATCATGCGACTCATAAAGGTAAGCCAACTGTTTAAGTCTAATTTTTTAACAACCAACAGGACATCTGGGCCAGGTGGTAGCAAATCTGTCATCTCTGTTTGTTAATTCTATCTCCAGTTAAACGCGTAACTCGTGGCTTTCTTGTTTTTGTCTTTTTGATTTGTAGGAACTTGCGAAATATGAGGAGATGGAGGAGAAGGTCATGCTGACTGAGAAAGGTGCTCTTTTTCTGTTTGTTTACATTATACCCACCTATCAGCGAAAAAGCCATTAAGAATATAAGGAAGTGTGTACCCACTTCCTCCTTTGTAGCCTACCTAGTAGGCCTAAAACATCCACCTCATCTACCACTACATAAATGTATCTGGAAAAAACATTTCAGTCTTCCCACATTCTTATAACCAATGTCCCACTTGTAGATCTACTTGAAGACGGCTTTGGAGATCATCCGTTCTACCACTGCTTAGTTGCTGAAGTCCCAAAGAACCAGAGCTCGGAGGGTAAAACATCTCTCACACAAAACTCTTAACAATTTAAGAGTCGTATTTCTTAAAAAAAATGGGTCAACCCTTTACATTTTATCTCCTAACTTTGGGGTTTTTCTCTTTAGGATACACTGTGATTGGCTTTGCTATGTACTACTTCACATATGACCCTTGGACTGGAAAGCTGCTTTACTTGGAGGACTTCTATGTCATGCAGGAATTTCGTGGTAAGACTGTCTGCAAGTGCTGTTATATGGTGGTGGTAAAAGTTAATAAGTTACAGACAAAGTCTTCAGGGGCATTACACTCACATAAACTAACTACTCTTAACATGTAATCCTTCACCAGGTTTTGGCATTGGTTCACAAATCCTGAAGGTTCTGAGTGAGGTACGGTAACCAGTGTACTTAAGTTAAAGCTTATTTGGTGACAGATGCAATTTTATTCCAGCTGTATTCAACACTTCATAAGCCCTTATGTTTTGTTTTGTTTTTCTTCCCCCTGCAGACGGCAGTGAAGACTCGCTGCAGCGGCATGCACTTCATCGTAGCAGAAAACAACACAAAGTCCATTGAGTTCTACAAGCGAAGAGGAGCGGCTGATCTCTCCTCTGAGGAGGGCTGGCGTCTTTTTGAGATTGAAAAGGAGGATCTGTTGAAAATGACTGCCAAATAAGAGTTTACTGTTTATTGACTGTTATTAATTATAATAATCATGATTTGTTTGGTCAGTGATTTGGCAAAGTCTTAATAAAATCATTGTGAAATCAACTGTTATCATTAATCGGAAATTTAGAAAGACCTCTGCTGACGAGTGTATGAACACAGAGGTCTGGATATAACTATCCCGAATCATCATCCTTGATCATTTTGAAACTACTCTGTTTTATGTTTCTATATTTTGTTGGAGTGATTATTTTCAGAGGGAGTGTTTTTGTGTACCGTTAATATTTTGTACTGCCTTAAAATAAATCTATACATTTTGAACTATCTTCTGGATTAAACCATATTCAGGAAACAACCTTTGGTTACAAATACCATGTTTCAAGACAATAATCCTCCATGTGCAAGTTGCAACCAGTGGTGGACGTTTTAAGATCATTTAAGTAATACTTGACACATCAAAACACAAAGTATCATTAAAGGTGAAAAACCTGTTTTGAAAATAAATATTGCATAAGTAAAAGTAAAGAAATATTATCAGCAAAATGTGTTTCAAGAGTCCCTAAGGACCAATAAAGAGATCTTGGACATAAAAGCTGCCACATAAAAATCCAGTATCACAAGTGTAAGCACTCAGTGTGCAGTAAAATGGCCTCTGTCAATGTTATTTAATGATAATATTGGGTTATATTACTATTAACTGGAACTCATTTTAACAGTTGTACTGTTATGTAAATATATTAATTAGTAAATTAGCTGTCAGATAAATGTGTATGTATATTTCCCTCTGAAATGGAGAATGGGAATACTTAAGTACATCAAAATTGTATCTAAGTACAGTACATGAGTAAATATATTCAGTTACTGCTTAAATTGTATTTCAAATACAGTTGATGTGGGTAAATGTGGGATATTTTCTTATGTTTTACCTTTGCATGCATTAGAAATATCTTAATATACATTCCTACCTTTATGTTTGCTTCCTTTCCCCAGTAGTTAACCTGTTATTTATTGGCCTTTTAAAGAGAAATTTCAGTGCTTTTTCTTATTTCTGACCGGGATATATGAGGGATATATAATGTTGGGTTTGTACACTCAGGATGAAAGTGATACTGTGTAGAGTGTGTGATTGGAAACTAGTCAGCGGTTTGTTTAAATATTGGATGCTCTCAGTCTGGAGGTCATAGTCTAACCACTTTTATTGTGCACTTCGTCGCTGCATGCAAGTCTGCTGTTTGGAGGATTGAAGCAGTCCTCAGCCCATTACGAGCTACACCAACCTCGGGGCATACACTAATTAAAATTAACACTACACTGCACGTTTTGACATAACCCGTTTGAACGGCGGTCCTCAGATTATGGCCTGTTTGGTGCCTGTCGGTGTGACTTCCACCACAACCCTTCCGCATTTTCCTGCTGCTCTCGGGCTGTGACGTGTCGTGCTGACGGCGGCCTCGGAGCTGGAGGAGCGGGGGGCTGTAGCATGACAAGATCTGGCTCCAGACGTCCTGCTTTGCTTTCAGCGGAGCTCCAGAAACAACCCCTAACCCCTCCTTCTCTGCTCCTCTCCGGCCCGCCCAAATAACACAAAATTCCCGACTGAATCCTGCCCGAGTCTGGGGGAACCAGGCGGCCTGGGAAGCCGAGTTGCGGACGGAGGCCATCCCTGCAGCATAAATCTGGTACGCGGGTCATTTTTCCTCCCGGGGCGCCCGTTTGCAGGGCCGTGTTTGCATTTGTGCGTATCCTTATCTCTTTGTTTTTACATGCATGTGTTTTTTTAATTTATTTCTTTATTGTCACCGAGAGGCCGCAAAGGGTTGGGCCTTTTCTTCTCAGGCCCGGGCCTCAACAGAGGCCGTAATTGGTGATTCAGGCCTATCCGGTTAGCTAGCAAAGAAGAAGGTTTTCGTAGTCGCCAGTCGTCGTTGACTAACATTATTATGCGTTAATAAAACAGTTAATGTGCCGTGTAGCTTTCGATTGAAGCGCAATTGACATTTTCTAAACACCGAAGGGTATTTTCAATTAGCGATAAAATTAGCATCCGTCCAGACAGCAAGCTAACAAAATGGCGGACGCTAGTGTGAGGAATATCGGTTGTAGAAAACGAGTGTGTGTGTGTTTAGCCCTCCTCCCGCTAGCTGGCTACTACAGAGCCGCATCAGTGTAAACCTAACGCAACCTGCCTTCTTTATTTTGCAGTTTCATCTACCTGCATGCATGCTAGGGCAATCATCTGTTATTAAATGCGTGTTTTGGCCGTGACAGTCGGGGCTGTGCGTGTGTAATCAGTGCTAACGCTGCTCCAGTGGATAGTTGAAGACATTACCGTTAATCACCTCATCGGGGTTTAAGTTGCAGTGTTTAGTCTGGTGAATGATGAATGAGTAGCTAAGTTAGTCGGATCAGCCTGGTGGGGTTTACTGTGTTGGCGGCATCTTTCAGCACACTGATGCACTGTGTTGTGCGCCATATCCCCACACACCGTTGTCATCATTTTCCACCTGGAGGTGGGGGATGGTACATTCAGTGGAAATTAAATGGCACCCCGGCTGCATCGTCCACACCACTGTTTACATCTCTGCATCCCCCGAGTGTGTGTATGTGTGAGATATTTTTGACGCACATGAGCTCACCTTCATTTCCATGATGAAGGTAATGTTAGTGCCAATTGTAGCTGATGTATACATGTGTAGTTTTGGTAGCTGAGGTAGTGATGCAGTCATGGCAATTATGCCACTGGTCATCTCAGTTGCTCTCCTTTGCCGCAGACACAAGCTAACACTGCAAAAATCTATCCACTTGATTGTAGTTTAATTGATTGGTTTTCCCCCCTAAAGATTTCCTCAGTATGCCTGGTGGGCCAGATCTCTTACCAGTGCATCTTTTACATCACTCTGTCTTGTTGTTTGTGTGTAAATATCATAGACTGTATGAAAAGGTAAATATATGTGAATAATATTTCAAAATAAATTAAGCTCTCCACAGAGGATCTTGGTCATTGCTGCAGCAATACAACAAGGACGAGTCTGTTACAAAACTGAGCAGTTATTGGCTCAAGAACAACATAACCATCAGTCATATAATATTAATGCAATATTTCTTTTACGAGGGGTTCCCACGCTCATGGACAACCTGAAGAGGTCATTGAATTTCACAATCTGTGCCCCACTGCTACTTTTAAATTGTACTGCAATTTTGAAAAGGAGCAATGTTTGTGTTATTCGTTGTGAATGCTTGTCGAAATTTTCTTAAAGATCTTTAAATATCATGGAAAAGTTTGGAAATTTTATCCATTATAATGTGTGGGAACCCTGTGTATGATGAGTATGTCTTATTAGGGCAGGATATTGCAAAATGTCTCTCCTTTTTGAAGAATGGATATGTATCAGCTGTTAGGGCAATGCTCAGGCTGCTGTAGTTGTGCAGCATCAGGTCAGTAGTCTGTCATGTGAATCACATTAAAATGTCAAATTAACACACACACACTGCATTTTTCTTCATCAAGTGAAAGATGACAAGCTCATCATGGCTTTGAGGAAAATAAATGACTTGGTTCCGTTTACATCAGCATATAAGGTTAGACTCATGTTTGATGGACTGCATCTCCTGGTTTCCTATTTTAAAATTTGAATAGTTTAAAATCACAGTAATGACCATGAACACATGATTTTTGATCATTTGGGCTAATTTAGTTGTTTGAGATTCACAGCTCTAGCATGCCACAGCACAAGGAAAAACAACTTTTTGTGGTGGTTGTCAGTGCATGTCATTCTATATTATGTAGGTACTGGAGCATCATACTGAAAAGAACAACAGTAAATGCATAAAATAATATGCAAGGATGTAGGGATAGGCTGATTTAAGTTACTTTGGTGCATGACAATGAATAACTGATCAAACAGTGGTTGAGATACATGTGGTTTGCATGGTTCTTCTCTTTACTTTTGTTTCAAACAGTTTTGGTCACCAAAGTTCTAAAATTTGTATTATTTGCTTTCAGCTGTCCAGTAACAAATGCAGTGCGAGGACAATGGATGAGGATGTCACCAGGCTTGCAATACATTCTGAAGAGCCTAAAATAATACTACACGGATCGGGTAATTAGCTATGCATATATTAATGTGTGTTTTTATTTACATGGTGTGTGTTTTTGGGTATGTGTGAGTTCTGATAGCGTTATAAGAAGTAGGATTCTTTGACCTGCCAAATGACCTAAAATATTTGAGTGGCTTAAAGGAGCTCTGTACGATATTCAGAGCGAATCTAAAGGCCCAGACACACTAAGTTGACTTAAAAGAAGCAATGTCAACGAAAGCTGACTGCTTTGTCGCCTCATGTCGCAGTGTCTCGCCCAAAAGTTGCACATGAACGCACTGCAAAGACTACAGCTCAGGGCCAATCAGCACGCATGTTCTGCACCTGCGTGAGAGGAAATAACTCTTCACAGCAGTTGACAGTGGTAATCTGTATGATGATGCTAGTTAGCTAGTTAGCACACTACCAACACAATCCACTGTTGAAAGAACAGAGTCTATTTACCATGTGCCAGTGAGCAATAACAAAAACTGCCACTGCACTTTTCTGCTAAAGAGTGCAATGTCTAAGGAAAAATAATCTTATCTTATGTACCAAGTTTGGACCAGAGGGTGGGTGCTACACTTCTGCAACAACGCCAACCCAACATCAGCAGTAAATGCTGTATGAGTGCAATGCAGACCGGCGGCGATTAGCTAGCCAGCGGGTTACACAAATGGGACCAATATGCTTGTTTGCTACTACATTAATATTCTGAATATTACATAAAGCCCCTTTTAGTTATAGGTTTGTTTGGAATAGTATGTTGGTTCATGGTGTCAGTAGGAAATAAGTAACAACATTTAATGTACCATTTAAAACATCCACACATAACAATCTGATTAACTGGTTAATTCTGCTTCTTCCAGATGAGGGTGGTGCCGGTGGGCAGGAGTTTGTTGTGGAGCTTCAAGAGACTGTGTTGGTGTCAGAAGGCGAGGGAGAAGGCATGGCAGTTCACAGGTTTGCACCCGATGAGCTAGTCATCCAGGATGCTGTGGAGGATGTAGTGTCTGAGTATGTGCACTGTGACGAAGATGAAGATGTGGCAGTAGAAACTTGCGTGATGGCTCTTGAGGGCGAGGAGGAGGGTGTTGCCATGGGAGACATCCCTGAAGATGGGCTGGACCCAGAGCAGCAGGAGGACGACCAAGATGGCTGTGGAGATTATCTAATGATATCATGTAAGTTTACCACTGCTGTGCTGGGATGGGATTTAAATATGTTCTTCCTCCTTTTGGGGGCAT